AAAGCTAACAAGTGCAGTAAGCAGAACATTTTACGCTGCACAATTCAAAGCTATGTTCACATCTAAACCAAACATGTGTTTCCGAGTGAAGGATAGAGTGCCAGATTCTGCAGCCTCATTCTGCGTATATTCATTCACCTGTTCCTGTGGGACTGGGTACATCAGTCGCACGATCAGGCGCTTATCCGGTTGCGTTCGCGAACACCACTGGCTGAGGACTGGCACAATTAAGACAATTACCAGCGCGGTGTGTTCGCAGCTAGTTGAGTCAAATCACTCGGTGAATGTGGCAGGCGCGTTCCGACCGATTTACAAGGTTTGATGCAGGCAATCAAGAGCAGTGAAGGATCGTATCTTACCCACTGCGGAAGCCGTAAGTATCCGGATTCACAACCCCCTTCCTTTATGCGCCCAGAAGAAATTTGTGCAAGCACTTAATCTTCCCTGGACCACTTCAGCCACTCCAACACGTGGGCAATCATTTGAACTTTTGAGTGTGATCAATTTCATACAAACACACGCACGCCTGATTGGAGCCAAAGCTGAACCATTAGGACCCGAATTTCTCATTCCTTGTTTCGTTCTTATTGTTAGTCATATTTAATATTATGTAATGGCATGTTTACGAATAACTGAAAACTACCTTCTTCGTCAGGCTGTTATTCCCAATGTGTTCTGTGGGACTAATGAAATGATATCTCAAATTAGCAAATACCAATCGAGCCTTCAGTATGCATGGCGACACTATCTGTGATGTCTGCCGGGTGGGGTGTAGCTACACAAGTAGAAAAATTTGTTCACTACTTCTACTATTCTCCAGTCGGTGTGAGGTTGGAGGCATGACGAACACAGTGCTACAGCAACATTTTACACTTCGAAGGTGCAAAACGCATGCTGAACATGGTTATCCTAGTACTCAAACTATCCGGAAACGCTTGTTACTTACCGGGATCTTCATTTAGTAGTACACTGTCGCCTGGACACTAAACAAGTCTGCCCTTCGAGAGTAAATTGTGTTCAACAATCGGTTCTTAAAAAACATCATCGACATGGAGCACTCAATGGCAAATATTTTATGAGCAGAAAAACGTGCTGAACAGCTCCATCCTAATGAGAAAAAATCGGTTATAGACTTCTTTGGATGAAAACGCCGTCGAGTTGAGCGCATGTAAACGACGTGTTATTTGATACAAGCCAATAATTTAAAAAACACATCCGATTACTTAAGCCACATGACTAATACTTACTTCAGTATAGCTTGCACAGAACGTTGGAAAAGCAGACACAATTAAGGGTCCAGGTCTTTGCGTTTTCGGCGGTTCCTTTGATTCAAAAGTTAATGATTTCTAAGATACATTTTAGATACACTATTTGCAGCGTACTTCGCATTTGGTTTCTTGAGCGTTTTGGCCCGATTTTATAGCTAAAAGACGAATAAACCAAAGCACATTCTCGGTGGTTAGCAATTGAAGTTTACTCAACAAGAATGATCAGGAAACAAACCTTGCAGGTATTCCACACTAAACAAATGGAGATTTTCAGATCATTACTGGGAAGTGCCGAAACGAACCACTTCTGCAAAGGTATTCAGCTAGTCTGTAGATTATTGATCAACCTTAATTTCACAGAGAAGAGACACCAAAAAATGAATGACGAGTCACTGGTCAGTAGCCAACTGATGTTTATTCAAGATTGTATGCTATTATACAGCGGGAATGTGGTACGGGGGTCGGTGAAAAATTTATGGTACAAACTGAAAGTTAAATAGTACTATCACAATTACGAGAAAGTCGTCATCAAGTAAAAAGGAAGTCATGGAGGAGATCAGTACATGTGGTTTGCTACCTCAAAACGGTTAATGCGATTTCAGTTGAGACTCTGGTCTTCGAATAGCTTTTGTGGAACCTCATCCTGAAATCAAGGGTCCATTAACTCGAATATCATAGGGCTAACCTCTTGTATAATATCTTGTGCATCAATAACAGACAAAATCTCTCGAGTTCCGGTTTCTTGAACCTCTCCTGCCAAAAGGTACTCATCGAGTACGAAGTAAGCTTTTTCAAAGTGGAAGATAATATCCAACTCGCACACCTAATGACTTTCATTGATTACAAATCGCAACTTACGTTTCCGAAATATTTGTCCAAGATCTCTACATAGCGGTGAATTATTTCTAGAGTGATCAGCTCATTATCGGTCGAATCGATCGCGCAAGCGAAGTACAGACTCGCATACCTAGGATAATTTCTCTTTCAAACTATCGGATAACAAACCGTCGGTAAACAATTTTCATATCCTGCCATTCAAGAAAAGAACACATTTTCGGCTTCCGAGCAAATATTAATGATATTATCTCTCTTAAATATTTTCTTTTCTGTTTTTCAGTATACGAGCTGTACCATTTTTGTAGTCGTACTTTTCCCTGCCGACTGAAAAGTAATAGGAAATGTATCTAAACGGGAATATAATGAACAAAAGCGAAACTCTACCATTTGTAGAGGTAGATTCTTCGGATTGCTTTCAAAATAATGACTGGAATATATCCGATCCCAAGTTCAAAAAATTTATAACTGGTTCCCAAAACGCAATCGAAGTTTCCTGTGAGGCAACAATTTAGGCAGCGTCGTATTCAGTATCAGCATGCGTTTACCTACAAGTAATACCAATAAACCCTTATAAAAAATTTTGATTCAATTGTTACCACCGAAGCTTTATGAACTAACGGACAGATGTTCGAACTTCGTGGTAAATTTGATTTTTACTAGCAAAAATACGCGAACTGGTGCACCGCAGTTAGGTCAGTCAGTCAGTCAGTCAGTCAGTTTGCACAGGACAGGAGATGGCCACGGCCAATC